ACACACACACACACACACACACACACACACACACACACACACACATTCACATACAATCAAGCATAAAAAGTACGATTTCACGAATAAACACGAGTTCTTCTTGGAAAACACTTACAAAGGACAATAACAGCTTCTCTTCCCAATTCTATCGTCACTTCCTCCTTTTCTCTTTCTATCATTCTTTTTCTTCTTGTAAAATTGTTTCTTTTTTTTTTCAGTAAGGATCACTTGTCTTTTTCCTTTTCCCTACCAGTCAGCAATGAGTGCATTTTCCTTGTGCTAAATTCAATGAATTTAATAAGGTTTTGTCTTATGTTGCTTGCTTTTCTGTTGTTGTTGTTGTTTTTTTCTTCTTTCAGATTTTTAAAATTAATTTTCTTTTTTAGCAAGACCTTGATGAACGTTGAATTTGATGTTAATGAAAAATGTTGATGAGTGAATAAGATAATCAATAAACCAGTACCGCAGAAAGTATAGATTGTTTTTCCTTTCTCTGTGTTGTCTTTTCATGCTTCGGTTGATAATTGTTGTTGTTATGGTTGTAGCTGTTGCTGGTGGTCATTGTTGTTGTTGTTGTTGCTGTCGTTGTTGTTGCTATTGATTATTGTTTATCAGTGATGGTTATTGTTGTTGATTGTTGCTTTTGTTGTTATTGTTGTTGTTTGGTTGTTGTTTTTTTGGCAGGTAATTCATTTGAATAACACTTACTGTTTGGTGAATATTATTTATCTATATTTTCGTTGGCAAGCAAAATGCTTCAGGAGGAACCCCCTGCCCCTAAAAATACCACCCAAAAAACAACCAAAAAACAACCCAAAATAAGCAAACGGAACACACAAAAAAACGTTAATCCTTTTAACGATGTGTGTGTGTGTGTGTGTGTGTGTGTGTGTGTGTGTGTGTGTGTGTGTGTACATGTGTATGTTTGTGTAGAAAAAACTTCCTAAAACAAACTCTTCTTCTTCTTCTTCTTCTTCTTCTTCTTCTTCTTCTTCTTCTTCTTCTTCTTCTTCTTCTTCTTCTTCTTCTTCTTCTTCTTCTTCTTCTTCTTTTTCTTCTTCTTCTTCTTCTTCTTCCTCTTCTTCTTCTTCTTCCTCCTCTTCTTCTTCTTCTTCTTCTTCTTCTTCTTCTTCTTCTTCTTCTTAATAATACTACTACTACTACTACTAATACTACTACTACTACTACTACTACTACTACTACTACTACTACTACTAATACTACTGATAATAATATTAATATTTAAAAAATAATAGAAAAAATAACATTCATCATCATCATCATCACCATCATCATCATCATCATCATCATCATCATCATCATTATCATCATCAGGATCATCATCATTATCATCATCATCATCATCATCATCATCATCATCATCATCATCATCATCATCATCATCATCATTATTATTATTATTATTATTATTATTATTATTATTATTATTATTATTATTATCATTATCATTATTGTTGTTATCTGCATTACGTTATAACTATTATACATGAAAGATGGCAAAAACAGTGCTTATAGTCAATTCTTTTTTAATATTTTGCTTGAATTGAAATTGCTTGATCGAATATTTTTTTAAACTTTTTTAAACACCCAGTAATCGATATGCCGGTCAAACAAGATGAAGAATTTTAATAATGCTTCCCGCAGTTGACCTGACCATCAATGATTTATTTATAGAGGCACCAGCCATCCATGTCCAGCCTAGGTGCTGTTTTAGCCTCTTTTTCTTGTATGCGGATTAATAATATCTTTTGCTTCCCGCAGTTAAAAGCTTCTAAAGCATCAAGACTTCCAATGAAACAATTAACTTAATAATTACCAGAGGTACGTTTTCTTTAGCTGTTTAAAAATAACAACAATTTCTTATTCGTTGTTGATCGAGATTCTTTTTTTATATTTCATTGCCATTGAACCTCCGTCGTGTTGTTTTCTTTCGTGCTAAATTAATAGATAATGGAAAGCAGGTTAAATTATAATTTACATTTTCTGAGCCTTTAATAAACGTTTTTCAGAAAAATCCACACTGAATGAGTTCTTTAAAGGGCATGAAAGGTGTTGAGCCAAAAAAAGTTTTATAAAAATTCACAAAGCCGAGGAAAAATGCAAGTTTCCTCATTTTGATTAGTTTGACGAGAGCCTGATTCCACCACACTGCCTCACATTTCATTCCCATTGAACCTCTGTTGTGTTGTTTTCTTTCGTGCTTAATTAATAGATAAAGGAATGTATGTTATATTAGAATTGTTTCAAATAATTATAGGGTCGGTATTTATTATGCTGGCTCTGTTCGTGGCATCAGACAGCGAGATGTATTATATTATGTGTCACGATGCGGTGGAATCAGGCTCTCATTAATTTTCTGGCATGTAGAGTTATAGGTATCATCCTAAAGCTTGTTCATTTGGCTTGCTTTGGATGAAAAAATATCCCATTATCTTGAATCAATAGAAATCGACATAGTTGGGATGAAGGAGGTGGGGGTCACTGGGTTTCAGAGGCAAAATTTGTGAGGAAATGGCCGCCAAAGATGACTTATTTCCTTAGCTTGAGAGTCCTTGGAAACTGAAAATTAAAATTTTCTGTGTCTGAAAGCAACGTTTTTCAGTATGATCCACACAGAAATACGTTCTTTTATGGTCATGAAAGGTGTTGAGCCAAAGAACGAAAATTCGATACAAATTCACAAATGGCAGTTTCTTCACTTTGATTATCTTGACGAGCGCCTGATTTCACCACGCTGCCTTACATATATTGGTTTTTAACGTCTCTGAGAAACCTACAATAAAATTGGGGTCTTCATTTTCCTGGTGAAAGATAAGAGCGGGTGGGCGTAATTGTTTGTAAAATGTGAGGCAGCGTGGTGGAGTCAAGCTTTCGTCAATTATTGGGCATGTAGAGTTATTGATATCATCTTACAGCTTGTTCACTTGTCTTTATTTGGATGAAAAAAGTATCCATTTATCCTGAATACAAGTGGAGATATTTGCGAAAGAAGGAGGTGGGGGTCACCTGTTTTCAGAGGTAAAATTAGTGAGAAAATGGCCGCCAAAGATTAGTTATTTCCTTAGCTTAAGAGTCCGTGGTAAATGAAAATTTACATTTTTTGGGCCTTTAATCAACGTTTTTCAGAAAAATCCACACAAAATGAGTTCTTTAGTGGGCATAAAAGGTGTTGACCCCAAAAAAATAAAAAATTGATGAAAATTCACAAAACCACAGAAAAAAGCAAGTT